GAGATATTTCCAGTCAACTTGAGGCATTGATGAACTCAGACGACTCTACAGATAGTTCTTCTAATTTTCCCCTTGAGCTTTTATCTAATTCAATGATGACCTTTATGGTCAGAGGATTGTTCTCTAGCCTTGAGTTCCCGTATGCTTTCTTTCCCAGTAGAAATATTGCTGGACATTTGTTATTTGAGCCATTTTGGGAATCTATTAACAGATTGGAAAGAATTGGATTTCATGTAAATAATTTAATATCAATACATTAATACATAGGACACAGGGATATAGATGTAGTTACTACAATAACTATTCAATTTATAATTATTATTGTAGGTTCTTGGCTGTACATCTGATGGAGCCTCTACAAATCGTAGATTTATTAGACTTCATGACTCAAGAAGACAACTAGTACACAAGACACAGAATCCATTTACAGCTAACAGATATTTTTTCTTTTTTTCTGACCCACCCCACCTATTAAAAACGACACGCAATTGCTGGGCATTGCCATCACGAACTTTATGGGTAAGATATGAGTGTTTGTTCTACAAGCAAGTAATCAATTTTATAGAAAAATGGTAAAGAAATTTCCTGGGATCATCTACAAGATATATATTTAAAATCAAGGGCAGAGAATGGTTTAGTATTGCTTCCTCGGTTAAAATACGAGCATGTACATCTGACAAGCTTTTCCAAAATGAGAGTGGATCTTGCTGCTAACGTAATGAAACAATTACAGTTGCACTGTACAGTGAAAATTATTGAGCAGTAAAGTAATTAGTCTTTTTTAGGTGCTAAGTGAATCTGTATCAAAAGCACTTACTTTATTTGGAGGAGACACAGCACAAGAAACAGCCCGCTTTACTGGATTATTTGATATATTTTTTGACTGTGTAAATGTCAGGAACTTTACTGATGGACAAAGGAAGAGAAAGGCTTTTCAGAATCCATACTATTCGGAAAGTGATTTTAGACTACAGGTATTACTTTGATTGACAATGTATCCTAATTTATAAAGCTATTATAAATTATAGTGGTTAGAGGATACGTTCCTGACTTACCTGAATGAGTGGGATGACAGCGTCAAGAGTCTAGAGGTACCTAATGATGAAAAAAAGAATATGAAGCTAAGCGCTGAAACATTAAGTGGATTAAGAATGACAAGTATGTTTTGAAAATTATGTAAAATATTGCCTAATTATATACATTGCATTTATAGCGAAGTCATTTATTGAATTAGTGAAGTACCTTTTCACTGTTCCTGGTGTCACTGTGTTTTTCAGTAGAAGACTATGCCAAGATCCTCTAGAAAAGTTTTTTGGATGCCAGAGGCAAATTGGTAGGACACATGAAAATCCAACTGTAAAGGAGTTCCAAAGAAACACACAAGCCCTTCGTGTGGTAAACTCCATGTGCAGAGGTTCTATCAGTTCCAATTGCAGAAGAAACAAAGATCTTGACACAGCTGAGTATGATATACAACCATTAAGAAGGAGAAAGCGAAGGAGAATTGATGAGAGTTTAGATATAACCTTCAGTGCTACAAGTAAAAGATATAATATTTTATGACTGATTAAAAAACAAAAAAATAGATCCACTTAATTCATTGGGCACTATTGCTGACCAAAGACATTATGGCGGCAGTTCAAATGATGAAGGTAAAATATAAGCATCTAGTAAAGTTATCATTATTCATTCATATAGCTACTCACATGTGTGAAACAGTGATTAAGGGATTTAGAGCTCTGGTCAAGGATGACAGCTTTTATGTAACACTCGATAACGAGTGCATAATTAAAGCAGCAAATGCTTTTATTCAGTGGGCTGTGCCTCCATATACAGAGTACTTCATCATCTTTTCCCAGTACCTGATCAGTAACATCAAATCTTGCTTTACTAACAAAAGTAGCCGCCAATCTGAGAGGGAGTACATATGTACACAATATCATACCCTAAGAGTATCTGAAACATGTCATAGCACTTGGTCCACATTTCTTCAGTTATCTATTAAAAGCAACCCAGGCCCAGCTTTATACCAATATGTAACACAAAGTGTACTTACAATTTTCATGAGACAAACATACGGGCTTTTAACAGAAAGTGAGAGACCATCAATTTTCCAACTTAATGACATAGAGCATAATGCGCTACGATACTTTGCTGGTTACCTGTGGAAGAAAGTTATATCTCAATTAGTGACATCAAAGAACAAACACAAAAGCACTCTTTTACTTTTTATGAACAACATCATTGGAGTCGATGAGATAGATCCTGATGACCACACAGAAGAGTGGACCAACATCATAGATAGAGGTGGTCTTGTTCACATCCCAGTATCAATATATCATCTATTCTGTCAGATGGAGCTTCAGCTTAGAAACTACTTCAATTTAAAGACAGCAATTCTTGAGCCAAAAACGAAAATGAAAATCATAAAAGGGATATGCGAAATTGAAGACCAATGGCAAATTCTAACAGAGGACGTGGAGACTTGATGGTAGTAGATGAACTGTACTATATGCTGGCTGCAGAGTTTGTTACCGTTCGAGGGTTCTACTTCGCCACTTCAATCATAGAAACGTACAAGAAAGTATCCTCAAAGAGTCTACAAAAGACAATTGGTCTTAGAAGAACCATCCAAACAACATAAATATTAGTTGCCTACTTGTATAATGCCGAGATATAGTAGATCTTAGCTCATTCTAGCAAAAAATCCTTGTAGAATAGCCTTGACAATAACATGCAGACCATGCTCTATCATGCTTGGTAATCGTCATTCTAAGTAACGCGCACCATTACAGAGTCTGTCCGTGTGACGTCATCAGTTTCCAATCCATGTTACCATAGATATTATAGAGGTTACGTAGTCTATAATATCTATGATGTTACGTAGTTATAAAAATTTATGAATAGACCTATTCAATGAAATTTTTTTAATTGGCGCCCACGATGACCCACCTGAGTTGGTGGTAAAATGGCTGTATGAGACATGCCGTTAAAGACAGGAATGGATCCAATTATTTGCGTGGGTGCAATCTCGTCTCGCGTAGCCAGACCACACCCTCCGTGCCTACGGGTATGGGTGGGTCTGGCAAATTGACCATACTCCGCTCGTTCTGGTTCACCCAAAAATGGGTGAAGTGGATGCATCAAGTGAATGCTTGCTACTTTCTGGCAGGGAGCTCAAGAGCAGGACCTTAAAGGCAAAAGGCTTCTTTTACTTGATAGATATGGTGATCTTTCGGAAGAGAGCTTTGGTAGCCCTTTAATTGGCATAGATCAAGCGGGCCGTGAGAGGGAGAAGATGTATAATTTGTCACAGCTGTTCCTCTAGCTTTTTGTCACTTAAGAAGAAGGTAGTAGAAGAGAAGAGTCAAGAGTTACTGTATCAATTCACCCGTTTCTGGGTGAAGTAGAGCAAAAAATTGGTTCACCCATTTGTGGGTGAACCAGAACGAGCGGAGTATGGTCAATTTGCCCATAGATACTACATACACACATGGATATGAAACAGGAAGTCGGTATCCAATTAACTCTTTGAAGTTCACCTGTAAATGTCATAACCAGCATAGCTCTATCCTTAGCGCTTTTCTCTCTGTCTATGTTTTCAAGAATTTTCTTGACTCACTTATTTTTGTGAAAGAAGGTATATAGGTCTTTTTTTTTGTTCAGTAGACCTAATAAATATATTCTCATTTCATTTTGTCAACAGGCCTCATGTTTACATGACAAAATTAGAAGACCTCCATTTTTATTTGTAACCACCTTTTCTAGACTCTTGAACGGAGTTAGCTAGTAAGTCTTGGAATCATAATAGTGTATTGTTTGTTACATGGACTGAAACTATTCTCGTGTCAATGTAATGAGAAATGACTGAGATAATAGCCAAAAACTAGTTTTTTTATATTAATTTTGTAACCACCTTTTTGAGACTTCTGCACCAGGTATGAACAAGTTACTACTTTGAGTGTATTCATTAAGGCCTCTTATATAGACTGTTTATGGTTTCATTTTTCTAGATGCTATGTTTCAAAAGTAATAATATAGTCAACCGGGGCTATTTCGTTCCGGGGCTATTCCGTTTCCTTAATAAACCAATGGTGAAACACGTGTAGTCACGCGGAATAGCCCCACCTAGGGGGTGTTCTTTCTAGGCTTATAACTTGGGAACCACGGGGTTTTAAGACCCAAAACTGGTGCCAGTGGATCTAGGATGGATCAAGCTGGAGAATGGCACCAAAGATGATGAATAAATGAATAAAACGTGGGAAAAAAACGCGGGTAAATACTTGTGATACTTTAGTGTGGTTGTTGAATTTTGTCTCAATTTACAGGTGAGAGAGCTTATTTTAGCACTAGAAGACTCTAAGGACACTTTTAATAGCTACTGCTAAATGCACTAGACTTTTATAACAATAATACATTATTATAATCATATTTATTATAAAATTTCATACATAGAAATGGTGCGTCATTATGAAAGAAAGGGAAATAAAATGAAATGGAGTGAAGAAGATATGGAAAAGGCAATTGATCATGCAAAGAGGTATAAGAATATCAAAGGAGCAGCTACAATGTACGGGATTCCAGTGTCAACACTTCGGGACCATCTAGCTCATGGTAATGTCGTCAAGAGACCAGCTCATCCCACGACATTGACAGTAGATGAGGAGAAGGAGATTGTAGAAACGTGTCTTCTGTTTGCAGAATGGGGGTTTGGCTTATGTTGAACTGATATCAATGGAATAGTACAGAGCTTCTTAAAGTACACGAAAAAGCCAAACCCCTTTAAAGATGGAGTGCCAGGGGAGGGGTGGTGGAGTTTGTTTATGAAGTGGCATCCATCTCTGGCAAACAGGAGGCCCCAACATCTACAGCTGGTACGAGCAAAGGCCCTAAATGAAGAGGTAGTGAGGCATTGGTTTCACAAGTGCTTAAGTCCTGTCCTTACCAATCTGGATGTAACAGGAAAGCCGGATAATATCTATAATGTAGATGAATCTGGCTTTCCATTAAGCTGGACCCCTAAATGTATACTATCAAGAAGAGGACAGAAATCACCTCAAGCACTCCTTGCAGGGTCTGGATGGGAAAATATTACCGTTCAGCTCTGCACATCTGCTACAGGGAAGCTCCTACCACCATATGTAGTGTATAAGGGAGAGAGACTTATGTCAGACACTACGTATGGTGGCCCTCTAGGAACCAGGTACAGTGTAACACAAAATGGATGGATGACTGAGCTCACTTTCTTAGACTGGATGAAGTCTCTATTCATTCCATTCATTGGTGATAAGAAGCCAATTCTTCTTATTCTTGACGGTCATTTGTCTCATGTCTCATATGAAGTACGCCTCCTAGCGCTAGAGCATGGTA